GAGATCACGATTATTTGACGATATTTATTTAACCCTTTAAGACCTACTATAGAACCAAGTCCACCAGAGCTTATATTATTTTTTTACATGTTGTAGTGCCATTTGTGGGAGCATTTCAAGTTGCTATACATCAATACAACTGTTATAGCCCATATTTTAATAATATGTATGCATTAAGTCCATAGTAATTACATAAATTGCAAAAAAGTGCAATAAACTACAAAAAAAATTGAAAATTGCTTTTGTTTTGTTTACATATATTTCTACTTGGAGAAATTTAAGAGGTTTATCCCTCAAAACTTTAAATACAATAAAGTTGCAAAAAATAGTTTCCCACCACAGGAAATTTATTTTGAGTGTCTTCATAGTTTTATTTTGGAGATACAGCAATTTTTATATACTGCAGGAAAAACAAAAAACAATCCTATGATGCAAATTTGCAAAGAAAACAGCATGTGCATCATTTCACTGTGGGAAGTGTTACGAACAGCTGATAGGAACGGCAAAGCGTGTTTCTGCAATATTATGTTTTTGTTCCTGCAAGCGCTTTTTATGCAATTTTTGCAAAGCTATATGTGGAACGAAACCGTGACCGAGGACAAGCTGATGGCATAAGATGTAAGTACAACTCCTCCGGTTTCATATGCAAAACAAATTATTGCGCTACGGTTCAGGTTCTACAGGGATTTAAAAATAGTTACGCAAAACGGAGCGTGCTGCTCTGACCGGCTTTAAAGGGTTAACAATGACTTTAAAAAAATAATATAAAATAGTGTGCAACACCACTGAAGTTTTTTTTTTTTTAAACTCTCTTTTCAACCAACGGCAGTCACTCTCCAAATAACTTCTGCTTAGCTTTCCGAGCTTCCCTCGGGTCCTCTTAATCAGCGGTCTCCAACCTTTTTTGCGCCACGGACCGGTTTATGCCCGACAATATTTTCACGGACCGGCCTTTAAGGTGTCGCGGATAAATGAGGGAGGGGCTAATAATCGGCTCAGTCATTTTTAATGATCGTTGAAAGCCCAGATCGTAATCGTGATTAAAATTCGATTAATTGAGCAGCCCTATTGTTATGTACTACATTTGTTACTCATTTATGAAGCACAGTACATGTTTCGTACTTTTAATTACCGCTACTTGTACATATACTTAAAAAGTTATGCAAATATGTACCCATAACTTGTTTTTCAAAATATTAATAAAAGGGGTGTGTCTCCAAACAGCCATCTCTTTCCTGACAATTCGCTTTGTGCATATTCTCGTACATATGGTAAGTCAACATTGAAACACCTGCGGCTTTTAGTCAGGTGCGGCTAATGTATGTACAAAACAGGATTTTCCCCTGATTTTAGCTTGTGCGGCTAATATTCAGGTGCGCTTTGTAGTCCGGGAAATACGGTAGTTAACTAGCCTAATTTTTTTCTGTCATTTAAACAACTCAAATCACAAACCAGAAACATCCCTAAGTTCTTTTTTTATGAATACTATTTCAAATTTTCCTGAAAATGCTTGATCTCCAATTTAATTGCATTTGAAAGGTGAGTCTATTATCTAGCCTGTCCTCACTGATTGTCATACATTAGAAGACATTAGATATTCATCAGCCGTTTGCAACATAATTTAACAGCATAACAAACATCTCTCTACACCAAGCCCAAACAGAAACTCTACATTAAAGCCACAAGGGCTAAGTTTATTGCAGGGCGTGTAATACAGGATATCTGTTTAAGGAAGGTGTAACTGTGAACTGGAATATGTCCTGGTTGCACTGCACACAGAACAGTTTAGTGGTGCTCACATCTATTTTAAAGAAAAATGTTTAATCTAATTGTAAAGAACTTTTCTCTTGTAAGGTTTCTTTTCTTTAGGAGTGAAAGAAGCCTTCTATGTCAACTGCGAACGACCATCTTTGAACAGAGGTGGTGGCTTATGACACCAACTGTCTGCCATCTATAATCCAGTTCTGAGATCCCTTCCCAGATGCCTTAACGCCCACTCACATCCTGGGCCATCTGACCTCAGTAAATTACATGATAGGGTGATTGCGACCTAGGGCTGTGCGATATGACCAAAATCTCATATCCCGATATAAGACATCTATCATCCCAATAACGATATAAATCACAAAAAATTAAAGTTTTCTGTAAATTCTGTGAATCTCGGGCAGCTCGACTTGCATGAAGTGTTTTCAGCTGGGTGTCGTGTACCTGGAGTTATGACTTTTAGCCGATCCATGAAGCGATACATTTTTAGACACAAGTTGTAAAGGCCGCCGTTTTCTTTGTGAATATTTATTACACGGCGTGCTGCGGGGAAAAGCCTGTTCTAACGTTTGAGTCTAAGGTTTATTTTTTAGCACCTAACGCCTCTTTTTTGCTTCTCATCCGTAAACACTGCATACTCTTTCACAGGATTTAGTTTATTTTGAAAAGTCTCAACAGGATCTTGAGCTTTATTGTGAAAGGTTAATATGCAAAACAAACAAGCGGACGGCGGAACCACGCCATTGTTCTACTGTCGTGGTTGCTAATGGAAATGCGTAAAAACAGTCGCTTGTCCATCCGTAGTGTGGTCATATTAAATATAAGAGAAAAAGAGAACTTTAACAAATTAATATAACCACTACAGTGACCATCAAAACGATGAAAAAATATTGCCGTAAACATTATATTTTGCCACACTACGAAACAAACGATAGTGTAAAATGAAACGATAGACGTTTTTATATCGTCACCCGATATATATCGTTATATCGAACAGCCCTATTGTGACCTACACCCGTCTTCACACCTTCGCTCGTGTGATTAGGCAGAGGATCATTAGGGGATCCATTGTCCCTCTTGGGGGGGGGAGAGACACTCTCACAGGGCTTAAACCTGGGACTCTCCACAATTTGACCCTAGAACTGAAGAAGCTTCTCGGATAAGAGGTGAAACGTCTTCAAGCAACTTAAAGAAGTCCAGACGCCTTTCTTTCCAAGCTCCTTAGACTACGATGACATGGATGACTGAGAACATCCACAGACAAACACAGTGCACAAATCACATGACTTCACTGTCAGTACCACTGCCCTCCAGTGTACTGTGTGATCGTGAAGAACTAAGCAAACAACTTACTTACATGTTTTATGAATTTAAAAAAAATAATCATTTAAATGATGCTTGATGCGGATTAGGGGTCAGGGTTAGGTAGGTACAAACTTTATTTACAACATCAAACCAGGTTTTAACTTCTTAAACTCCATCAGGCAACCAGCTACAGTTAGGTTTAGAGTTACATTTAAGGCCTAGTCACACATGGCCTTGGGTCAGTTGGCAACTGCTTGAGAATCACCAGTCGCTAGGGAAAAATGTGTACTCTCCTGGCAGGTTGTGGTTACTGGCAGTCACTGTGAAAAAGACTGCCAAAGCCTCAGTCACACTGGGCTGGAGACCGGTCAGTTATGCCCTGTTAGCCACCACCTGCTGGGAAAAATGTGTATTCCCCGGCAGGCTGGTGAGTGGTTGCATGAGGCTGCCTGCGATCACTGAAACTGGTCGCAAGAAAAGCTACAAGGTCCTGTGGCAACTGCTAAAAGATGACTCTGGTTACTCATAGATTGAATGGAAGATCCTAACTTGCCAACGTCTTCCATGCAAAGTATAGTGCAAACTATGGGCAACCACAGCAAGATGCTTGCAACCAAAGCAATCACAACAAGGTTTTCAATGTAGCACCCTCTTAGCGACCAATTTCACCCACCAACAGCCAGTAATCACCAGGAACACTCACTGAAAGGTTTGCAAATACATATTTTTCCAGAGTGATCAAAGGTTGCCAGCTGGCTACCAACTAGTCCCTATGCCAGTAGGATTTAACTCCTTCCAGTTGTTCTCCATTTGTGTAGCTTATAACTTTCACATAGCAACTTTCAGTAGGAATTGTACCGACTCAACCTAAATTACCCAACACTCTGGGTACAAACTGCGTATGAATAAAAATCCACAACCTGAAAAAACGGTTTCTTGAACCAGCCCCCCCACCAAAAAAATGTTTAACAACAGTTTTTATTAAACCAGTTATGATCATCTACCAATTTAAGGAAGCCTGGAGTCCAAAGTACATATGCAGCAGTACTTTAGTGCAGTGAAGGTGCACTGGCCTGTATTATTCATTAACTAGTTGTCATTTTTTTTACTCCTCATTATAATATGTACGTGTCAAGACTGTGTTGTCATCCCTGCCTGCCTGTAACAATTCTGACCCCAAAATGGGATGCAAGTATTTGCAAAATCTCACCCCAAGTCCATCTCACCTTAACATGGTACCAATGCGGAGCTACGTAGCTTACTCAGCAGGTGCTTCCCACACCCGCAGAGTTTAATGATAATAATAATAATATAACGGTGCTTCTACGTTGGGCTGTTTCATGCAGCAGCTCCAATTAGCAAAGATGAGGGAGTTTCCACTGAAAATTTTTTTATAATGACAATTAAAATTAATGTTATGTTGCGATAACTTAAGTTTACGAACTTGAGTTCGAGTGACCCAGTTGATATCAGCACGTGGAAGTTTTAAAATGCAGCCAGAAAATGGACACTTTATTTGATCAGCAGTGTGTTAGCTACCTAGCTAACATTAGGGATCAGTCGACCACCACTTTGAATTGAGCTGAATTACACACACTACAATTATGATACAGCGCTATGGTTGAACAAACAGTGAACTCTAACCCCCACATTATAACTATTAGCTACTTAGGGTTAAGCGACGGTAAGAAATAGCCGCTTTGAACAGAATACACTTTCTTGTCATTCAAGCCGCTAGCTATAGGCCGCGCCCCAACACCGCACTAAAGTTAAAATGTGGTTGGTAACACATTTCGACCTGCGGCGTAGGTTTTCGCCTGGCCGCCCGGCTAACTTAGTTAGCTCAAAAACGCCGACCTCACGTTAGCATCTATAAGTAGCTTGCATAACATACGAAATACTAGTTAAGTTAAACGAAGAGCCAGCCTTACCGTTTAACAATACCAGTTTTAATCTTAATCTGCCGTGTTCTTGGATCTGCCATGGCTGTAGATGCAATGTATTACTGGGAAGTAACGTGTTGTCGCTAGCTTACTGTGTTAACGGTGTGCAGGTGGAAGTGGAAGGAAGGATGATGAGCTGCTGGCAGATAAATCGATCGTCAGAGAAGCTCATTGTCGAGTTTTCTGGTCTGAATGACAGATCTGGTAGGTAATACAGTTTCGTGAGTGTATTTCTCTGGTTCTTGTGCATGCTTTTGCTATTTTTCTTCAAATTACACCTCGATAAACCGAAATCATAAAATGACGAAAATAAATAAATACTGTGGTGGTTAAGTTAATTAAATCAGGAGCAATTACGGAGACTGGGAGCTCTATGTTATATGTAGTTGGTTTTCCACAAAGTCTGATAATTGTTGTAAAAGACAGCTAGCCCATTTCAGCTACCTGCTCATCAGTGATCCCAAATTTGGGGTAAAGTAAGGTTACCTCATGAAGCTGTAACAAAGGAATTAATGGCCAACTACTGCCCCTCTAGATAAGAGAAATCAGCTGAGATACTCTGGGTAAGGAAATGAAGATATCTGTCAGCATCACTTTGTGGGCATCAATACTATGTAAGCACCAAAATATGAGTATCTAAGCCAGTCAGAGCTACATCTGTAGTTATATGATTGGTAGGGATTGCGAAGAAAAGGATCATTTGAAATGTTGACCTGATGCCTTTTTTTTCAGGAAAGAAAAACTAAACATATTCAACTGTCTAAAGTAAAGTAGCTTTGTTGTGTGTCTGCATAGGTAGTGCTGCGGCATTGAAGAAAACTGAAGACATTTCCAGGAAACATTTATACATAACAGGAACAGTACAGGGTAACTAATATGAAAGATCCCTCTCTTCCATTAAGCTTGGCCTTGTACTCCAAGTTTGCAAGCCTAACCTAAGCCTTCGATACTAAAAGGGACCAAAGCATTTGGTTACACTAATACCAATTAACAATGTTAGTTACAATTACACATGAGCCTCTCAATATACAACAAATAAATATTTTGGGTAACTTTAAAAACCTAATCTAAAAGAAAAACAAAACAAAAAAACACCCAAACTAATCAACCATCACTGTTTGATTGGTGTGAGTTTAATATTATGAAAATTTAAATATTTCATTATATATGTAATATTTCATTATAATTTAATAATATGGAGACTTTTGGAAATATCTCACATGTACAATTTATTGGTACTTGAATACTTGCATTTGATGTTTTATATTGTGCCAAATCACAGTAAGCTAAAGACCCCACAATAAATCGCTCTTATATAGCACATTTCTACTCTATGTGAGCACTCAAAACTTTATACAACGTATCTCATTCACCCTGTCATACAAGCACTTTTTTCCATGCTTGAGTACTTTTTATCTGACATACACACACATTCAGACCCAGATGTATCGGAGAGCAACTTGGGGTTAGTATCTTGCCCAAGGATATTTGACATGCATGCTGGAGCAGCCACCAATTGAACAATATTGGTAGATGGCCTGCTCTGCATCCTGAGCTACAGCCAGAAGGTAAAGAAAACCCCAACAATCAAATGACCCCCTTTGTGTAAGCACTAGGCAATAGTTGGAAGAAAAAACTCCCGTTTAACAGGAAGAAACCTCCAGCATAACCAGGCTCACCTGCCATGACCTGTTGTGGTTGATGGGGGAAGACAGGACAAAAGACACTGTCTAAAAGAGCCAAATGTTAATAATAACTAATGATGCAATTCAGAGTTGTGTATAAACACAGTGAATGAAAAAGGCGAGTGAAGAAGAAACAATTGAATAGAACTCAACTGAATTTAATTGAACTGAATGGAATTGAATAGAGAATAAGACTCTAATAATCTAATGATGTCAGATTATAGATTTGCATGGATTAATGCATCTTCTTTTTCTAAAGCAAAAGAAAGAAATGTCCATAATATTATTCCTTGCTATTTTTCACAAGATTTGTATATTTAGTTTCTTTAAGAATTAAACTGTGTATACACAAATATTGTGTGTGTAAGTTAAGGTTTATAAGCCTCAAAATCAGCCTTTTTTTATTTACCCAATAGATCACTTAAATGATACGATTGACATGCCTTATAAAGCTGTGTTACAAAGACACAAAATTCAATATCATTTGAATCTTTGTGTATTTAATATTGATTTGTGTGATCTATAACAAAATGAATCAATTTCACAGTACTTTACATGGCTGCCTGTATCAAAATATATATATTTATATACTAGAGACCTCAGCTTTCCCAATAACATTAAGGGTTTACAATATTCTTGCACATTAAAAGCTTTGGAACAGCAGCACACTTGTGAAGTTAGTGCTGGGAAAGGAGTACAACTTCTTTTATTTGAGCAAGAGAAAAAGTTTCCACCTGTGAGACCCACTCTCACAAAATGCAAAAAGACACCTAATGTCCCGCATTATCCATAAAAGAGAAACTGTGCTAAATACAGCTTCAGTAGTCTTGTTTTTCATGCACTAGGGTGAATTTAATTGAATCTTGTCACTGATAGAATTATGCACACAAGCATAATTTAAGTAAGAAACATTCAGAATAAAGTGAAATAAAAGGAAACAGGGCCACACAACAGATTGTTGTATGTATCAGGTCAAATTGGAGTAGAGGCAGTAATCAGGTTTGCAGTGATGGTGTTGTGTCTCATAATGCAATTCCACTTCATCTAATAAATCCCAGTTTTGGGTCATATAGATCTTTTAATGTGCACATACTCAAATTATGTAGAAATTCAAACATACAGTACTGTGAAAAACTCTTGAGCCACCCTTGATTTCATTATATTTTGCTTGGAAAGTAGTAAAGTAAAGGTGGTAATCTAGGTACAGACTTAAATGGAAATACGAGGCGAAAAAAAAAAACCCCAGAGTTATTACAATTCAGTCTGAAATATTTTAGGTAAGCTTTCTTGTAATTTCTTGAAGTAATCTTCAGGAATAATTCTCCAGGCTTATTGAAGCTCTTCTTTGGATGTTGGCTAGAAGATAGAAGGCCTTAGATGCTCACTAAAGATGTTTTTACCACTGATTTTCAGTCCTGTGCTCGTGTAGTTAGGCATATCTCAGCCTTTTCTCTCTGTTTGCTTTTCTTAAGAATGGCTTCTCGACAGCCACCCTTCCACTGAGACCATTTCTGATGAGGCTAAGGTAGATGGATCAACTGAAGGGTCAGATGCATCTCTTAGGTCCTGTGTCAGGTCTATGCTATATTTTTTCCTATTTTTTAAGGATGTAACTTTCAGATCTGTATATCTGATGCAGATATCTTTTAAGCCTGATGCTTCTTCTTTTGTCTAGTTTCCTCAAAATGTTTAGTGCTAGTGCCTAAAGGTATATATAAAATTACTTCTCTGCTAAGTTGTCAATTACGTGTGTAGACACAACACTGGTTGACTCCTTGAGTTAGGAGCCTCTTTTAAGCTTGAACGATTCATAATCATTCAACAAACAAAGAAAAATATTAGTCTGAAGTCTGCAGTCAGATTCAAGGAATGGCTTGAAAATGAGTGAACAGGCAGCCAACGTCCAAAGAAAAACTTTATTATTATTATGGTACAGTTCTCTTAAATGTAATAATTTTGCTTTGTTTACATTTGAATTCAAGACTTTTACTTGTTACAATGGAATATTTTTTACCTTAGCATAAAGTAAATGTGATACCATTTACCATTTAATTGTTGTAGGCAGTAGGTCGAAAGACTTACAGGCTAGGGGTGGTGTTGTTTCTTGTAAAGCAATTTGCCTTTATTCAATATACAATATCTATTTTTTAATTTGGTTGTTAGTTTGTTTTTTATATATCCTGCCTCAAAATATGTACAAGTGGATAAAATCTACATGCTGTGTTGACTTACGGCACTAATATTTGTGCTGCCAAAAATCTGTAGACTTAGTTTATATGTGATTACATTTGATACTCTACCACCTGAACTTAAGATTTTCATTTAGATGTGGCACTTTTAAACCCTGGCACATGGTGACTCATTAATCACTGCACATGCTCAGTCCCCAAAATATGATAAAATAAACATATTGCTATACAACCAAATGTGAAACCAAACATAGTTTAACCACAGCTAAACTAACATGGTAAAGGTAAGTTATTTGATACTTTTACATAGCAGTGTTTAATATATGATTACAAATATGATAATTATGTTAAAACACGCTAATTAAGTGGAATTTGCTTGTACTTGAATACTTGCATATGACACTTCCTACTGCATTTATAGTACAAAAAACCCAGCATCATATGAAAAATAATTCATTACTATGGTATTATTATTATTATCATCATTGGATTATTAATGATTAATCAATATAGAATTTATTTTAATTGAAGACTTGTGCTAGTAATGTAGTGATTTACCTCCATGTTTCCCTACTATATAAAAAGTAGTGTGAATACTATTACCACTGCTTGTGTAGATGTTTTCAAAGCTCTCTTGTTGAGCAGCACTAATGGGGCAAGACAGGGATTCTCTTCCAATACAAAATCATTATAATTAGTTATTCTTAAATTGTACTATACCAAGGCTAAATCGGTTAGCATAAGAGGGTAGAGAGTGTTTCATTTTCTCTGCAACCAGATCGATCTAATGATGCTAAATTGGAGATCTGCCATGGATGTCTTTTTTTTTTCTTCTAAGCTAAAGATATAAGCTCCTGTAGTATATATTATTCCCTCGTCTTCCCGAGTAAACATGAATAAAAGATGATGGGTGTTCCTTCAGCAGCGGAGGAGAAATCCTTTACTGGGCAAAGCTGCTGTGATTGCATTTGAGTGGTGGGAAAACCCCGGGCTCCTTCCCTACAGCTTCATGGCCGTTGATTATTGGTATTTTCCGAGTTTTCCAAACTAATAAGTGGCACTATCAAGCATTTGGAGGCGCCGTGAGACTACAGACGGGCTGCTAGACTTAATTGATATTGAGCGAGGCACTGGTAGGCGCGGACGGGGCCGCTGCTGGGTAATTTGCAGTTTAATCAGCGTTTGTAATGAGAGCCGCTGATTAGCGCGGGGTGGAAATAAAAGAGAGTTACAAGGAACGTCTGTCAGAGTCCGGTGATAATT